TTCCACATCATAACAGTTGAAACAATATGCTCAAGTAAATGAGTCCTCCTAGGGCATCACACAGCTACAGAGACAGCCCAGTCTGTATGATTCCTTTCCTTGACACTTCTGAGAAACACAACGCATTTGGTACTTGCTATTTCCCACAAATCAATATGAAATACCTTAGGAACTTCGGGTCAAATGAAGGAAGAAGGTGTGTACACACACAGTGGGCACATTCCACAATGGTATGCAGGCACTATGGCTAACGGACTGGGAACACAATATGGTTTATCTGAACAAAAGCTCTTAATCGTTTATTTCTTATGCTATTTAAAGCTATGACTAAAAAGATTTTTTTGAACCTCCCCCAAAGGAAAGACTGACAGCTCAGTGCAACCCAACAGCCCGGACTATCTCTGGTGGCTCTGCAGCTGACACATTTGATGACACATYTGTCATTTCTTTTCTGATAACCTTCTACATGATCCTACAGATAAAGAAGCAATTAACTTAGAGAATTWGACTTCCTCCTGTGACAGGGACCATCCTTTGTCTTGACAGTTCAGGCTGTCTGCACCTTTTAGCCCTTCCGCCTTAACACAAAATATAGGTACAGTTCTCTTCTGAGCCAAATATTTAGGTCATTCCTATGTAAGAATTACTGAAAAGCCACATGACTGTATTTCAAAAATTTATAGCCAAGTAGTCTGCTTTGCCTTAGGAAGTTCTGGTTTCTTTCCATGTAYGCTGCACAGGGTGAAAAGACACTTAATGGGTTTTAAACAACTGTAATAATTTAAGCTGTGCTGACTAATGTGGATGAATTTAATATAGGGAATAAACAATTAGCTCTTAGGGGGGAAATCTGTTACTAGACAGAACTATATTAAACAAAATGTTAGGCCACCAATGCACTAAGAATGTAACAAAAATGTGACTGCATTGGCTATGGAATGTGGAATGGGATTAATCTGAGCTAAAACAAATGTTTATATTTGATCTTAGTCACTCTGGAAACAATTTATGAACAACAATTACATATTTTTAAAGTGCATTTCACTGAACCAGTGSCTGCCTGAAGATGAGTTGTTTTCCAATGTTTATGTCTACTGTGGGAAGTTAGAGGAATAGCTCCATTAGAGGTGTCTGCCTTACAAACCTCAAAATCCAGACAAGATGAGAGACTGTGAGTGATGGAGACTCAAGTGCTGTGAATTGATTCTTTTGGCTAAACCCTCTCCATTACCAGAACAATGTTTGGCACAGAAGATACAGAGTGCAGCTCTTGCTCTCCCATGATTTATGCTGGAAGACTGCAGACTGAGCCTTTTGCTGCCCACATATTGCAATGCACATATACACTCACAGATGCATTGCCCAAGCCCTCCCAAAACACAACGATAAAAGAAGGTCAATCATCCCCCTCCAATAATGGATATAGTTAATATCAAGCTTTTTCCTTAGCAATTACAAAATAATAACTACAGGTGCAGGAAAAGGTTAGGCTTACCTGAAGAGAGAGATCCCCATCCTAACTTCAATTCAAAATCTCTTAAGAAGCACACAAAGGATCTGACAGTCATGAGGAGCTCACACAGCTAATTATTAGGAAAAAAATAATTTGACAGTGTTCTAATTTTTCATTTGGAAATTGTGATTAACTCTCAAGGAACTACAGAAAATGCATGTATTGGGAATGAAGGGAAAGGCAGACCAACTTACTGCTCAAACCACCAGCACTGAACAAACTGTCATCAGGAAAAAAAAATCACATTTAATTTCCCCCTTTTATCATCTGCTTCTCCCTTGAAAAATCTCAATGCTTTAGATTAATAAAAATTTCACAAAGAGTAGCTGTAACAAAAAGAAATATTAAATTAGTAGAYTGTCAACCAGGACAATCACAGTTTATTAAGATAAACTTACTCTGTGGACATCTAGAYAGATTATTCTCTCTATGTCCATTTAAATGAATTATTTGCACTGCACAGACTCTTAAGTCTTTCTAAAAGACACCAGGAAAATAAAATATAACGTTGTCACAGCATAATGGTGCCTCCTGCCTGACAGACAATAGAAGAGAAAAAAACTTACTGAAAAATGAATGTTGAGTTGATGATTACCAAGCTTATTTTCAATGTGGGAGGCAATTAGAGCATGGAAACATTCTCTTCCATTATTTCTATTATACCAGAGGAAGATAAAGCAAATAAATATGAAGATGGATGCTTATTGTTGATGCGCAGTGACAGCTACTCAGTATCTCACATCAAAGAACTATGTCCTATCAGCCCAGATGTCACAGAGAGACAGGCAAATCTGTAACAGGTACCCTAAAAATCTGAATTACTGCTTCAAATAGTTTGGGTCTTTCTTTTATAATTGAAGAAGCTGTGGTGAAAGTAGAATAAACTTCATCTGTTGTTTAACAAAACAAAGCATTTACAAGAGGATTTTGGTTGATAAATTGTGTTTCTAGAAGATTTTCCAAAGAGCTCTTTACACTCTTGCTCCTGACACTATAGGTACTCAAGCTGAAGCACCATCACTTGGCCTCCTCTTCACAGGTACAGAAGACACTCATTATAGAGGGCCTGCTTTGAATTTGACCTCTTCTGAGGTCAATATATAATATTGATAAAAAACTATCACTAAACCTAACAGCAATTTTTCCAAGTTCTCAACTCCAATTCACACAATTTAAAGGAGAGGGAAGTTAAGCCTTAATGGGTGACACCTCCAAATATTAATTATTCTGGCCACATTGCACATCTAATCAGGTATCTAAAGAAGAAATTCCTTTGGAAACACCATCTTACAGGCAGTCAGAATCTCTCTCAGAGACAATCAAAAGGCACCTGGTCATGGCCMAGCTTGAGCAGGGGGTTTGAACCAGATGACTGTATCATTTTTGCTATTGGTTCTGCATTAACCTTCCAGTTTCTGAACTCTGTCCCGTTCACCGAGCAGTCAGAATGAGCCCTCGAGGTCCCCTGGCTGTTGGGTGATTGCTTAAAAGTTTTGGATTGATTTGCATTAATAAGGTATGGGTGGGAACATTCACCTTACTCTCTCCTACAGCTCACTGCCCTACCAGACAGGAGTATACATGGAAAATATTAACTAGGAGACATGTCAAACAAAATTAAACCACAGAAGAGCATCCTCCTCAATTCCATATTGCCTGTATTTAAAATGTAGCTTAGCAGAAGTGAGCTACTCTTGAGTGCTGGAATTATACAAAGTCTACATTTAGCAACCTCTCTTCACACTTGCAGCGCCCAATTCTCTGTCACAGTCATTGCAGTGGAACTCAGTAAAACTCCTGTTTAATGAGATGTCATTTATCTGCAAACACACTTTACAATAACCTATTTCCAACTACTGCAAATTGATTTTGTTTCATTCCTTCCACATGTCATTGTGCCACAGAGGATAACTCCTTTGATATTAATAGTAATGAAGATGCATTGCAYCTGACAGCTCTAACAACATGCTTAATACAACATTTTAACTGTAAGTAGATGAAGAATCAGAAGGGAACACTTTTTTCAGATTCCATTGTTTCAGAACACAGTTCTGCATAAATGAAATTATCCTACTTAAAAGTTCTTTCCACTTTGATACTACTTCTATTTAATATGACAGTTTTATTTTGAGAAGATTACTTTCTGACACACTGCAAATTATTTTTCCCAAACAATACAGTTTATCCTTCTGTATCTGCTGTAATCAAATTTGTCTCAATAGTCTCCTGCTTCTGGTATATAACTCTGGCAATTAAACATCCTAACTTATTTTAAAATGACAATCCTAAGGTGTCACTTGCAAAGAGAAACAATACAAAACATGCCATCTCAAACTGCTATTGCACAACACAGCCGTGGACTTATTCAGGCTTTRTTTTACCCACTTTGTTATCAGAAACTGCGCCTTCTGCAGAACAACACAAGTTCTGTCAGTGATGTTGGTCAGATTTTACTTTTTTCCTGCCATCTGAGTTGCATTTAGGAGATTGTCCAAGCATGCTCACTCACCTAATTTAAACACTGCCATCGTGCTCTCTTCAGGAAAACCMTTTATTGAGTTTCACCTTAATTTCTGCTCTCTCCCATGCAATTTGTTTGCCTAAGGAAAACATCTACTCAACAAGGAGGTAAACCTCATTTATAATTGCATGTGCAGAGAATGTTTCGGAGAAGAGTGTATGCTGCAATTTTAAAGGAAATTAAAGTTTAACTGCAGGGTCAAGCCTTTTGTTTAAGGAAGCACTGTATGCAGAGTTGCTGTAGCTTGACAAATACATTAACACCAAAAAAACCAAACTCTTGGCTAAAAATGAAACAAAAACAAGCCACTGTATGCCGTGCTTTGTCTTTCCCTCTTCCAGTTCCTCTTTCCATTAAGAAAGTTCTAAGGAAACATTCTACCTTGTTTTTAGCACAAAAAGGGCAACAATCAGCATGTTACAGATTTTTAGCTTCTAGACCAAGTTGAGAAAGGGCTCCCTCAACCACCTGCTTTGGGACAACACTCTTCACAAGAAGCAAGGAAGAAGTATTTACAGGAAGCAATATTGTTACTGCTACTGACCCACAACTATCGCCTCACTTGAACAGCACAACAAAATGRAAAAGGACCTTCAGGAATGCACAACTCCAAATGGTAAAATGGAAAGTCAAGCCATTTAGAGACAGAATGAGCTTTGAAGACCAATACTGAACACTTGCAAGCCAGTACCATAAAACACAGATGAGAGAGGTGAAACACTGCGAGCAATTCCTAACATCCAAACCCATTTCAAACAGCCTGTAACCCAATTCACTCTTCAAAATTTATGCTGACATTTACTAYTGCTCACCACATTTACCTCCTGCTTGTAAGACTTGCTACAAGCACWTTAAATATGAACAGCTCCTGGGTCCAGCCCTGAAGTTCCAACTATGAACAACTATTCACTGTAAGATAAAAAAACCACTTTGTTGTAAAGACCATTAATTGTGTGCATACTTTACCTGTACATCGTTGGTGTTCATCCTTGTTCCCTCCTTCCCAACGAAGATATCATCTATGTCAACCAGAATGTACCTATCCAAGGACAGTGTCAGCTTCTTTCCAGAGAGGAAAGAGATGGCATCTATGAAAATCAGCTTGTGCAGCCAAAAATTCAAGTTATTGCCGAAAAGGACTCGTTGAATCCCATCGTGAAGCCCCAGGTCATGAATTACCGTGGCAYAGAGAGTGCTTATAGCAGCAGGTGGAGAAAGGTTTTCTGGTGTCTTTACTTTTGCAAATATCACTGGTTGATAAGCTGTGTGATTAATCTGGAAAACAGCCCAGTCATTTCCAAGCAAGGGCCCTTTGTCAAGCTTAGAAGATTTAGTCACATGGAGCAGTGGGGAATGAGGGTTAATGCAACAGTCCTTAACACCCAGATTGCTGTGGACATGGAAAGGAAAACCCTTCAACTGAAAGCTCTGCAAGCTGTTCTCATTGCCTTTGTGAAATCCRATCACACCTACACCATATTCTATACAGTACTTATCTAGAAGGCCTCTGTTCCAAGAGTCCATATTCACATACTTTAGAATATTTTCATACACTATCAGAGCGTATTTGCCTTTATTTTTGTCTATAAGCACTGGGAGGTCACCTTTCCCAGATGCAATCTCAATGTGGAACTGAAACCTGCTAGATTCCAAAATGGTTATTATATCTTGGCCTAATGTGGAGTACTGGCTTTCCACAAACACCAGCACTACAAGGTCTGTCCTCAGGGGATCAACAGGCTTCGTGGTCTTCATCTCCATCAGCTTGTATGGCAACAGTTGAGGATCACCACATTCCACTTCTGAAGAGGTTTCAGGAAGTTCATTTTCCTGTTTGTAGCCATTATACAAGTAGTAGGCAGAAATAACTATGCTCACCATACAAAAAGTGGCCAGCAAAATTACTGTTCTTTGAAAATGTCTGTGAAGTTTCAGGATAAAACTCATGGTGTTTACTTGCCTTAGATAGCCCTCAACAGCAGCATGAAAAACAAACACAGATTCTCAACAACTTGTTCCAGTCCTCTGAAATATTTATGTCACCATTGCAGCAYACACATCTATCTTCCACAGAGCTTTACCGAAGGTATAGTCTAGAAGAAAAGAAAATCAGAGATTTAATTCAGGCATCATCTTGTGAAGTATCATCCACTTAAACTATGGGGGACCAAAGAAATCACTGCAAGCCAGAGGTCTGGGAACCAACAGCTCAAAATTTTGCAATRTTATGTTTCTTCCCGCTCCCACTAGTTGCCATGTGCATTTGAAGGTCCCTAAATTTCACAGGCTCCTCAACTCAGAGGATCAAATAAAGTAGGATACACACCAGAGGCACTGAAAAACACGACATAAAAGCAAAAAATTTATTGTGTTTTACAAATTCTTTATACTCAAAAGCTAACTCCAAACCGACAAGAGTCTGTTTGCTAACAACCCAAATACTGAAGAAAATTTATAGCCTTCTTCCTTCTGTCCCTACAAAGCTGGGGGAACATTAAACAAATTCTATCTTGTATTAGTTTTTCAATGAACTAAGATGTTCATAACAAACATACACATTTCAATTKCACAAACACATACTGATATAGTCCATACTCTATCTACTATAGGAGTGCTTTTAAAACAAAACTTCCTGTAACATTAGAGGAAAACAATGTGTTTTACTGGACTTGTAGTTTTGCAGGTTGTTAGAAGCACTTTGCATTTCTTTGCATTAAAAAAACCCATAAAATTATCAAGCTCTTAAATTTGAGAAAGGAAAGTAATAAATCACAACCTAAACYTAACAGGAAGATCACCTAAGGATATACTTATGCTCTATCTTGTACTTACTTAAGGAAAGGGTAATTTTTCAAGGCAGCAGTACAACTGCTGTCACAATTCCCTAGTAAAGCAACTGGACAGTGTGACAAGCATAAAATAATGATCATTAAATGAAGGTTCAAAGCAGAATGATCATTAAATGAAGGTTCAAAGCAGATTTTGAAAAGTATTTAAGAGTGTGAAGACATAGAACGTGCCGTTGTAACTTCAGTGTAGTATGCATTCAGGCCCACTTGGAAATAGCATTATGATGAGGTACATGTATGGCATTTCCCAGCTGAGAGTTTAATCCTTCCACTCCTGGTTGTTTTTTTTATACTGCATTSTAAGTAACTTGGTCTTTCATTTCAGACTTCCCAAAAAGCTAAAAAATACAATGTACCTAACGATACCTGTGTAATGTCCACAAATTTCATTAAATCCCAAAGACTCATCTTCTTAATGCCACGATGAGSATAAAGCAAAATTTAATGAGAAAAATCAGATAAGGGGAAAAAGAAACTACAARGCATCCTATGGTTCAAAACAGCAAAATTGAGCATGAAGAGTAYGCAGACATGAGCTGTCTCATTCATAGTTAACATTCATAGCAAGACTCCTGCTGTCCGGACAGATTCTACTCTCCTCCCYTTCTACTCACAGATACCTGTTTATTAACCCCTTCTCTTCTGGAAGGACTCAGATGCAGCCTTGACCCTGACCTGCAGCTGCACAAAGACCTGCTCAAAGCTTTTAGGCAGGAGACCAGCCTTTCACCCAGGCACATAGGCTCACTAACCAATGTTAGACTAAAATAACATAGTGCCACCTTCCCAGTTTCTGTCTGAATGGAAACTGAAGATGCATAAAGACMAAACAGCAATATGAAAGTTCAAGAAAAAACAAGCATTGAAATGTCCCATGCTTGCCACACTATCTTCAAGAAWATGTGTGGATGGTGTAACAGAGGTATTTATTGAGGTACCAAGTCAGGTGACAAAGAGAAGCTCCATCCTGAATGAGTAACACCAGAGAGATGTTTCCAGACAGATGATTTTTCATTACACACACGAAGGATTCTCTTCATTGCATTTCCAATTCAGCTGCCTGAATGCCAAGAAACACATAATTTTAGTGGCTAAAATTAACACSGACTGCATTCTGTAGCAAAGCTGTACATACACCTACTTCTGCTCGATAACCACAGACGTGGCTGGTCTAGATGTGGAAAAAATGAGAATTGACACTGACCTAAGATCTCAGCAAGGAAGAGCTGATTAGACAGAACTGGGTATTACAGAAAGGTTGTAACCAAGAACATTTCCAGCAAGGACACGGTTCCTGATGCCATTCCATAGAGAGGGAAATCCTGAGCCAGCCCAGAAACCTCTGTTTCCTTCRAGAAAAGCCCTGGCATTGCATCCTTAGCTCCTAATTGCAGATACTTCCTGGGGCTAGGGAGTGCAGCTGTAAGGAGGTGTGGCTGGAACTGCCAAGACAGATGTGAGGTTTGACTGTGAGCAATGAGGAATTCTCTGAGAYGCAGCAGGACACAGCCAGACTTGGCACACTCTCTGCTGAAGACAGTGAGGAAGTGGGATGGAACAGAGCAAGGTAGCAGTTTCAAATGCACACTCTCCTGTATCAGCTTGGTGCTTATGTAATTTTCACTTGCTTAAAGACTGGTTTGCATGGCAGGAGTTCAAAAGAACACAGAGATCTCAAAGAGAACATGCATTTTACAATATCAACACRGTCTCAAAGCCTTGACAAGGTACAGTTGCTTTCCTCGAGGGACAGCAGCATTTACCTATGATCAATATTACTTGCTGTATGTTCTAGTGCTGTATTACAGCACCATGCTAAAGTAATTCATAATGCAACCTCCTTGACAATGCCAACTTCAGGATGTGCCACACACAACACACTGGGAGGCCATGACTGACCTTTAGCACATCTTTGGACGTGTCCTTGCTTGCTATCCCTTCCTACAGTAAAACCAGACAAAAGGTGTCATTCTGAGTGAACCTACAGTGAGTAAGCGGTGACARGCAGTTATTTCAGAAGAGGACAGCACTTGTGGAGTCTTACTTTCATGACAAAGGAGTACAATACTTTAAYAAAGAAAGGAGAAGTCATGATAGCTTGAACAAAAAAAAATCCAAGAAAAAGGCTTAAAGCAAGAAAAAACCTAGAAAAGTCTTCACAAGAGTTTATGCTCGTTAGTATTGTTTCAGCAARAATACATGAAAAAGACTCATGGATAACATAAGCAGTCTCAGCTCTTTGACTTCAACACAGTCATGTACAGCTCAGTGACAGGGGGATATGGTCCCACTTGTGTCTCAAAGTACTTGAAAACAGGTGTCAGATATTACATGAATCAAAAATTCTGTAAAGGTGCTGTTGAAATAAATGTTACCTATAATTTGTACAGTACTTTTCCAAGTCTGAAGCAATAAAATCTGCATATTTTTCCTTTATCTAGAACCTTACTGCTTTAGAAGAACCTGCATTTGATCTCCTATTTTGCAATTTCATGCCACTGTCTTAAAATTCAGACCAGAACCTTTCACCTCTGCTGTTCAAAGTAGGAGGTATCAAAATGCTCCCTTAMGGTGAAAATTAGCATCTTTGAATATTCAGAATTTGGTTTTTAGCTTACAGACTCACTATGGAGGAGAAGATCTTGCTGAGAGAGAGCTGAGTCATGGAAGCAAGTTTTGCATTTTATTACAAACACAGACAGCAAGGCTCAATGTACTCCTCATCTACTGCAGAAGCGATTTCTGCAGCTCAGGATTAGTTCACGTGAAAATCTTGTTGGTACAGGAAAGAAATATCACCTTATTAAGCAGAAGATTGACCATTCTAAGCAGCACTGCTGGGCAGTCACAATTACAGGCATCTGCAGGCAACCAGCATGAAACAGATGCATTTGAACAGAGATCTTCAACTTGGATTGGTTTGAGGCGTTTATAATTTGTTCTGCTCATTCTGGTTTTTGGGTTTTTTTTTTAAATTCACTAACAAAGCAGCACCAATGAGAAAACAAACACTGTGAGGAACCCCAAAGACCTGAAGCACAACATGAGGAGCCTGGGGAGTTCCTGCCACTTGCAGCTTTCTTTAGTTTGTTGTTTCATTGGTAAGYAAAAATGACCAAATTCTTGGCTTCTGTAAGTCATTTCAGCCTGGTAACTCTAATGGAAACTCTTCCACAAGACAGCACTGGCTGAGAACGCAGCCTACTCAGTTCCTCATTGGGGGTCTCAATCCAGTAAAATCAGATACTCAAGTAAGAAACTAGGTACCTGCATCGGCACATAAGACCGGTCAGAATAAAAAAAAAAATTACCTATTGAAGTTGAATCATGAGTATCAACACAACTTTTAAAATTATAAGAAGCTTTCTTCTGCTGTGTTAGAAACTATGAAGATTATAGACAAGAACCATATTGTCGAGGGGTAACCCTTTGAATTAAGAAGTACTAAAACAGAGTTAGTTCTGGATCCAGCAGTCATCAACATTATTCAGGCATATTACATTTGTCKGGGGACATATTTTTAATATCTTTCTTCTCATAATCCCCATCATGATATTCTCATTCTGTTCTTAACCAAGCTGGACACTAGCACAGTGCTAGTGACATGCTGGTGATGTATTACATGAAGGATGAGTTTTAAATGAAGAGCAGACAAAAGAGAGGCATATTGTTCAGCATATTATTGTAGACATTTAAATCTCTGCTGATTGGTATGCTACTGAACTGCTCTGAACATAAAGGTCTGCTCTGGCCAGTCACTATGAATTATGGCTTTAAAGGAAGTATTCTGAACTGGTGTTAGTATTACTAAAACGTAAATCTTTGGATATATAAATGACATGGTAGGAAGCAGCAAAGAGCARCTGAAGACAACCAAACCTGGGATGAACAGCAGTGCTCAGATTTTAAAATCAATTATAAAAACATCAAAGTAGTCTCCAAATATTGAGCACCTCTCCTTAAAACATTATTTTACCAATTTAAGTATTCAAACAGCAACAGCTCAGATGAGTAAATCCAGGCTGAGAATGATACTTTACAACTGCATTTTAAAAAGACATCTTGTACTTGTAAAGATGGTGCTATAAGACATGACCTGTCAATGGAAGTCTTTGGGACCCTTTAATATCATACAAGAAACCCTGGAATGTGTGCATATTGAAGGGTTTACATTCTCTCATAGTTGTAAATAAAAAATATAAAAAAAAAAGGGAAGGACTTAGGCAGAACAACAATTCTRGTGGATAGATATTCTTTTGCAAGTCCTTGGGGCAAGCAGTTCTCAGCTTCTGTTGTACCTGTGGTATCCTTAGCTCCATGCTGCATTGCTTAACGCTAGAGATCCTTACAGGACAGGGATTCATGCATTACAGTTTGTCATTAAAGAATAACTACTAAGAACAAATACACAGTATTTAAAAATAGTTTAAAAGAAGGCTCTGAAGACTTATACAGAATACAGAAGCTTCGTTTACTCTTCAAATTACTGCTTTACCTTGATACAACACTTTCTACCAAAATATCTGAAAGCCCTTGACATCACACAGTTTTTCTGAGATAAACCCTGTTGTTTCTCAGCAATTAYAGAAACATCATTATCTAAAGAATAAATGATTTGCTCAAGGTCTCTGAGATAAATGTCCAGCACACTGTCTAGTCCATGCCCATTCCATTACCTCCTCTGTCTTTTCTCCCACAACCGCCAAGTGTAAAGAGTTAAGAAGACAGAGTTCAACATTGTTCCTTCCGAGAGACCTGACTGCGGATGCTGACAGTGAGAGAAACCCCATTCCTTTCACTTACCATTTTATTGAGAAAACCCCACCACACCAAAACCTGAAGCAATTATCCAGCACATCAAGTAGAGAATTGAAAATATAAAAGTTTTCTGCCATTTCCCCAGGGCTGCACGTGACAGTTGAACCGAGCAGGAACRCACACCAATTTCTGATGGGATTTGGGGAATCCATACAGCTATAACCACCTGAAGTTATGAATAATTACCGCACTAGACTGACTAATTTTGTTCCCCAACAGAGCCATAATCAATTCCCGCAATCACTAGAGGGCAACAGCGTCGCGCAGAACAACTCCGCGAGGAGGRAAAGGGAAAAGCCCTGCCGCTGAAGGGCTGCTGCGGGGACCGCGCCAGGCAGATGCTGAGTGCGCCGGGAAACAAGAAAAACAAACCCAAACCCCAAGAAAGAGCAGAGAACAAACCCGCAAGCGCTGCCCCCGCAGCGGGAGCCTCAGTGCCGAGCAGCCGCCCCGTCCCGCCGCRCTCCCGKCCCGGGCGCTCCCCTCAGCAGAGCGGGAGCCCGCGGGCGGCTCGGGCACAACTTTGCCGGGGACACGGGACCGGGAGCGCGGAGTTGCGCGGCTTCGCCCCGCCGAGCCCGCGGGCACCGCCCGCCCCCCTCGTTACCTCCAGGCGCGCTCCGCCGCCATATCCCCGCAMGGTGCCCGCAGATCCCGCTGCCGTCTGTGCCCTCCGCAGAGGCTCCTCCGGGAGAGCCGCCGGCACCCGGCGGGCGCGGAGCCGCCCCGGGCGCGGAGGTGCGGCGGGGCTGCCGCCGGGGGTGCAGCACCACCCGGCAGCCTCGCCGCGCCCTCCCGGAGGAGGAGCCGGGCTCGCCGGCGAGGGGCGGGCGGGGGCTCCGCCGCACCGCCTCCCACATCGCCCGCCCTCCTCCGAGGCTCGGCCGGGCCGGGGGTGGTTCCGGCCCCGGGCCCTCAGGCTGCTCCCGCCCTCAGCGACCCGCGGGGTCCGCCTCGCACGGCACCTGCGGCGCCCCCTTCCACACGGGGGCCGCGATTCTCTCAGCTGTGGGATTTTTAATCCCTGTCTTAAATAAAGCATGATTTAAAATTCTTTTTCCGCTTCCCCGAGCCCAATTTAGCAAGCCCCTGCTGCAGACGTGCTGAGGGCAAGTTTAACTCACACCTTCCCGCCAATCCCTCGCTGCCGGTGCAGGTTTGGGTATGTCCGGTTTCTGAACCTGTCTAAAGGTAGCGCACAAGGGTAGAAATTCCGTGAGGTCCATTACATTTTGTCAAGACAATGTGGGGTTAAAATCTTTAAACAATGCCAGTTAATGTGTTCGCAGCCTCGCTGCTTTTCTTCATTAAGTTTCCTAGCCCTATGTTAACACACTTAGTCCCGCTGTATTTTTTCACTGATATCCTGCATCACTCGCTCTGGAGATGGGGCTGCTTCATTACTGAGGGAGTTACGATTCYCTGTCTGACCTGCATTAGCTTTCACAAATGGGAAATAAAACTAATAAGTTTTATAAGTGCCCTCTTGATCTAGCTAATTTACCTCACAATTGCCCAGTGATTGTTAGCTCACCTAATAGCTGACAGTTCAATACATTGGAGTCRTTCCATCACTGGGGCTTGTCTGTCCAAACCTTCCTTTCTATAACTAACTCAAGGCAAAAACTTAACTGAGAAAAGCTACTGTCACCTGAACGTTGCTTTTCCAAAAATCAGGAGAATTTACAGCTCTTAATTCAGGAATACTGTTATTTACTTTCTCCTGTTTTTCTCCCTTTTATTCTCATGACACAATCAAAATACCCCAAATTTTACTGTCTTCTAAGCTAAAAAACAGTGCAAGGTCCACGAGCTACGCTTAAAGTAGAAAAGAGAACTTGTTGTCACAAGGGTTTATATATGTGTGAAGTTATTAATCCCTGGAACRGAGTCAATCTAAAATCCTGTTGCTCTCTCAGTATTGTACAGAAAGGGATTTTCTCCCAGATTAAGCTTCTCAACTGCATGAATATCCTGATATAGTCTTGTTTTGGAGACTCTCTATTATGAAGGCTTTTTCCTACAACAGGCTATGAAGTACGGGGTGAAAGTCAGCCAGAAGTGACTGAAATTCTCAGCTKTGAGTCCAAATTCAGGGTTTCCCTCCTACCCTTCTTTCTGAGCAGCTGTTTTTAAGTTATCTCTGGCCAACGTGGCCAGAAGCGTGTTGGAGGGCGCTTGTCCTCGGAAGCACTTGTTTGCTCCCAGAGATGTGCCAGACACTGCACAGCTGAGGGCTGCAGCACTGCACGTCAGCAGCTGCAGCACCGAGCGCTTCTGGCAGGAATATTAACAGCTTTCATCTTTCTTGGTGCTACTTTTCAGGTTTTTTGCTTTTGAGCTGTCACTGCAGCGTGAACTGGGAGTGATGTCTTAGCCATTCTTTGAGCAATACATCTTAAGACACCGCTGACTGCACTTCTGGCCAAGATTTCTGCCTGGCACACAGCACCTCACAAAAAAAATAGGAAAATGAGTAGTAAATCCAGACAAGAAATTAGGGAGGAGAAAAACCTACTGAGCTGCAGGGAAAACTGAAGAACATCTAGACAGCTGCTAGCCTGCAKCATGAACCACAGACTCAGATTTCTGCCTTTCTTCCTGCTGGCCTTCACACATCAATGCCCTCTTTCCCATTCATATTTTCCTTCAAACACAAGTCTTCACGTGCACAACCTCTTTCTGCATCGTGAACAATCTCTCTTTCTCAAATGAACGGAATCCTACCTTGTGTCAGGGTCTTCTCATTTTCAGGCCATTACTGCAAGAAGCAGTTCAAACCGTTGCATGGTTCTAGTTCTGCATGTGAATTCTTGGTCCCGCTGAAACCTGTGTAAAATTTTGGTATTTTTGTTATGGTGACCATTACTACAACTYCCACCAAAAATGCTCTACACAATGGCCAGATTGATTACACTGTGCTGTAATCAATCTGTCCCAAAAGCCAGGCAAAGSTCATSGTYTGGACCATTACTTGTAATAGCAACWGTTTTCAATTAATAAAGAAATACATTATCTAGTCCTGCCTTTTTGAAGTTTAGYGACATCTTTTAATGCAACACTGATTTTTATTTGTATTATTGTTGTTGGCATTTTCTTGCAAGAAGCTATTAAATTGAGATGGGTATTTGAAAACAAGGAGCAATTGCCTGTTATTAGTCATTTCATGATTACTTTTTAAAACCTATTGCAAATGCCACTAGYCAAAAGGCAAACATACTGTAGATTTATAATCCTCTTTGGATTAACCAGAAACTTGTTAAACTGGAAAAGGTTTTCTTTACAAGTTTCATCTATACAATGAAGAGAAAAATGTGGCCTAAGATTCAAGAAATGCTTGTGGTCAAAAATATAACAGCTAAGAGGCTATTTCAGAGCAGAAAAAAACCACTGTTCAAGTTTATAAGTGAACTAAWTTTTTCCATTATTGTTATTAAAGTACCCTTCACTTGTGAAGTGTATAATGACTATTCTGTAGCAAACARCACAGGAAGGCAGCCACGCTTATGCATTTTCCCTAAAAAGCCACTAGCTTTCAGATGGAAAACACATTTATTGCTTCTTTTCAGTACTTTCTCTTTAATTTTCAGTACCTTAGCCTAARAATCCCACTATCTGCATACATTGTMGTAACATCTTTCAAACCAGTGGAAAGAAGTTGCTAATTACATGCCGTGGGTGCCGACTGCTTGGCAGCAGAAAGGCAGTTTTATCTCCAGGCTTAGGATAAACTATTGTTATAAATAAGTTTTGTTCCTTCTTAATCAGGGTATCGAGACAATTGTCATCTTTGTACAATGATCAAATGGGCAACTTTGGAATTCAAGAAGCTCAGGAATTCATTAGGTGTGTCTGTTCTAAGCTGCAAATCACCCCTTTACYGCTCAAGTCATACCATGTGAAGTGTAAGACAGATTCATTAATGAGGAGGACTGAGTATTTTCTGTTGCAATTTACCAGGAAATTTGCTTATGAAAAGAGAGAAAAGACTCTTCCTTCCCATTATATCAGGTTCAGAGGTTCCAAGTTAATAAATATGCTAAAAAAAAATAGCAGCACAGATTCAGAATGCATTCATTTTAGTGAGTTGTTTTAAATGTATGTCAATTTGAGTGAAAGCTCCTTCGCAATATTGAAACTGGCTACAGGAAAGTGATAATGGACATGGAAGAAAATTAAAAAGAAAGCAAGTCTCTATAAGCACAATCAACCATCTAAAGCATCTTTGCCCCTTTAAAGAAAGTAATCTGTAATTAAAATTTCTGTTAAAAATTTATTTTAGGATATGTAATAAAATAGGGCTAAGAAAACCTTGCTTTATTAACCTAAAATCAAATCATTTTCCCCACCAGTAACAAAGGAAAAGTCTTAAAACAGTCYTGTAATTTGCAAAGAGGGAAAACATGAAACTGCTATACCCAGCATGTCAGTTGAGCAATAATCCAAATATTTCACAAAGCAGAATGTTATTCACAGTCAGCTGGAAAAATCATCATAATTTCATCTCTCCTTTCCTTTGGCAGAAGTAACTCTGGAGAATTTAGCAATTTTTTTTTAAAGAAAAGCAGCGTGCTTCAGCACTGCCTTCAACTTGCTCACACCCTTCCCCTTTTCCTATATAAATAAATCCCTCCTGCCTTCTGTGCTCCTGGAAMACACAGCATCCAAAGCACAGCCCCGCTTCCCTGTGGCAACAAACAAAGAGCAATAACCAGAGCAGTTTGCACAGGAGTGGGAAGGAATTCTGCATGCAAGGTAACGCTGCAGGATCAATGACAGGACTGTCTGCTCCAAACTGAGAGCTCATCAGCTGGAAATCACTGAGGTGAGAAAGGACGTGGGTACCACTCAAAGTTGGGGAATGTCTGTCAGCTGCCAAAGCCATGTGTCTGGAAAATACCACAAGCAGTGCTTGGAGAGGAAAAGAAGAGGTGGAAATAGGGAAGTGTTGATGCTATTTCATGTGGCTGAGGTACACCCTCACTTGGAAGGCTGGTTAAAGTTCAGGGAAAGTGATTCCAAGTGGAAAGTGATTCCAAGTGGAAGAAGCACTGTTGCCATGATCTGGTGAATAAACATCCTGTCCCACAATACTCAAGGTGAAGGTTGAGAGGTGATGCTCAGTGCAGCACTTGAGGGGGAGACATAAATATGCAGTGGTAGCTAACAAATTTTTAATAAAAAAAGAATTTTGGCATAATAATGAGTGGGTAAAAGTGGTGCAGAAAGTTAGGATGAAAATAAAAAGAAGTTCTAAAAGCACCAGAGTAAAGCAGACCCATTCTTTGAGCAGTGAGGGCAAACACACCGTTAACTGTGAGATGGAGCTTGAGCGAGCATCAGACATTGCTCATCGCAATGCCAGACTGGCCTTGATGGCTTAAGAGCATCTTATTGATCACYGACCCCACATTTTTTATGGTGCTGGGAGATCAAACCCAACAAGAACACAAATAAATCCTCACCGTTGATGTTTAAGTTGCTTTTGGCTGTTTCAGCTGTGGGGGTTCGTTTGTCACGCCCGTTGTTTCAAGCTGTCTGTAGGCACAGAGAGAGGAGCACCTGCACTCTGTTCACATGAATATGAACATCTCCTCACGAGTCATCATTTTTTAATGAAAGCCTGTATTCTGGAACACAAGATGTTAGCCTCCAGGGAAATGTATCAGGTTGTCGTCTGTCCCACAAGGCAACAGGTAAAGAAATAAAGAGGGGGAAATTGTTTTCTTTCCTGCTAGAATTAATTTGA